TTCATTTGAAGTAATAAATTTGCTAATAACTTAAATTTTCCAATATAATAAATGAAACATAAAAAATATAATTAATTAATTGTTAGTATGTGTGTACATATATTTATAAAATATAAGATTAAAAATATTTTTTTAATAATAGAAAAATATTATTTTATCTTAAAGATTATAAACATGCATTGAAACAATTTATTAATTATTAAAGTAATCAATAATTGCCGTGAGAATGTAATGTATAACGTTAATAAAAAGAATATAAATAAAGAAGTGTCATAATAATTAAGGAGTCGCATCGATATAAAGCATTTGTAATATTTTTTTTTAACTATATATTACAATGTATGATAAAAGGAAATTAAAAAAGGCATGATTACTATTTTTGTATATAATTAACAAGTTCATCTCTTATAGTGGCATGAACTTGAGCCAAGTAAGATGAATATTATATTGATGAATGTATAAGTGAAAATCCAACTCCATCATCAACATCTTCTTATGCATAAGCACCTTCTTCTTCATACTAAAGGGATCCGGGATCAATAATAGATATCATTCATATAAAATTATATATAGCCATCATTGCATAGACGATTTTAACTTCTGTTTGATAGTCATAGGATGGCATGTTTTGTAAGATTGCAAACTTACTCTTCTAAACTCCAAAAGTTCTTTCAATTGTACTCCTTAAACTTGAATGAAAATAATCGAAGATCTCATTTTCATTTTCAAGTGTAGATGTTCTTCAAAAATGAGGCAGATGGTAATGATCCCATCTGTATGGGCCAAAATGTCCATTTGGTGTTGGGTAGCCAACATCCACCAAATAATATTTACCTATATCATATACATAATTACTGTCAATAATGTTTGTGTTGTTAAGCTAAATATAAATAAAATGTAACAAATTAAAAAATACTTTCAAGTGGATGGAGAAAGTTCATTGAAGGAGTTATGAGGGCATGATCAAATATGTGAGCATCATGTGTATTGCCTTCCCATCCAACCAAGACAAAAGTGAAGCATATGTCCTAATCATAGACCACCATAACATTTTGTGATACTGTTCCTTTTCTATAAATAAATTTAATTTGATCTGTTGCACTGACAATGCAAGAAACATGTGTGCTATCAATTGCTCCAATAGCATATTTGAAAAAGGGGCCAGTATTTATCATGCCATGCCGTATTTTTGAATGAACATGCTGGAATGTTGGATCTTTGGTTTGATAGCAAGTCTATAGCATCCTAATAAGACATTATGAAAATGTCTGCTAATTGTCTCCCCTGAATGCTGAAATCTTTCTTGCTGCATTCTACTACTAAATGCATGGCCAATGATATTTTAAAACATTGGAATTGATTCATATATCCCTATATTTTTAGTTTTTCTTACAACAATTATGTGCAAAGACTTAAGAACACATCCCCTTTCCATCCTAAACATATTATAACAACGAGTGTGGTTGCCCTATGAAATGTCCCTTAGCCATGCACTACCTGTGTAGACACTTGTATACTAGGGTTCTTTACACAAATAAAGAGCAACATATCCATCGATTGGTTATTAACTCTTTTTTTTTTTGTCGATTAGCATGCTCTTCTGCAAGTTTATTTTCATCATCCATTTTCATTTTATCCTGTGCACATACACATAAAGTTTAGAATCTTTATGTATAAATTATAGAACATTTAAGAAAGTAATGAGTTGTCTGATTCATACAACAATTTAATAATCACATAATACAATACACAAATACTAATGCTAACAACATTCCTAACTACCTCTACAAATTATGACTATTTTAAACTAACAAGTCATTAATATAATAAACAAGTCATAAAATAAAAATGTGGCATGTTTAACAATTTTTTAAGCCAAACCATGATTTGGACTCCAAAAATGATTTTGGCAAGTTTGCCAAACACCTCCTCAGTTTTGAGGGATTGGGAATGCGGTTAGAATTGCTAGTGGGAGTGGGTTTGGAAGTGTGAATGGGCCTTTTAAATTATGTTTGGTAGGAAGTAATGTTTCATGAAAATACTTTTATTGATTTTGTTTTATAATTTATCATAAATTATGAAGAGACAACAATATCCTCCTCCCAACTCCCAAACCCATCATTCCATCAATGGCCATATCTTTCAAGTTGCAGCACGTGCTCGTGCTGGTCATTACTTCTTGTTGAAGACTAAGGGGTGCAAAGGTATCGTTGAATCTTCAGATCTAAAGGTGGGTGGTCACCATTTTAACATCCCATATTTAGCCATTATCGTCGTCTGAATCTTGCCAAAGAAGACTTGAATATGGAATATATATTCAGCACTCAAAGAATAAGAAGACGACCCAAATCTCATTGTTCATCGCTCAATCGCGTCCTGAAATTGCCTTTCTTTTCTGCCTTCGCCATCTTTTCCATGATCATGGGTGATTGTCGTCGGCAACATTGTTGCTGATGGGGAAGAAGGTGAGATGATTTAGAGGGAGAGATGAGAGATGGGGGCAAAGATGCAACAGAGAGGAGGAGATGAGAGATGGTAGACGGGGAGGAAGAAGATGAGATGATATACAGGGAGGGATGAGAGACGGAGGGGTGTAAAGATTTGATGGGAGATGACGGGGTGAGTGGCAATTTGGTCCAAGAAAATGCAATCCAGGACTACTTTTACAGTAGGGGGTAGGGTGGTGCTCATCAATGGCTAATCCCATAAAAGGTGATACTCTCTAGTCCAAGGATTGCTGAAGTCCTTCTCCCAAGCATAGTAAAATGGACAATGGACAATCCCACTGAAAAAAAATTGAGAGGAAAAAAATTAGAGAAGAAAAAAAAAATGGAGGAAAGTTATTATCATCTTTTTTGTTTGGAAGAATGAGAAAAAATAAAAAATTAATAAATATCTAAATAACTAAAATGTCCTTATCAAAATATATCATGTTTAAAATTAAATTAAATTAAATATGGTAATAGAAAAAGTATACTAACATTAGCATTATCAAATAATTTAAAAGCAAGTTATTTGGTTTATATATATTTTTGAATTATTATGTTTTAAAACCAAATTATTTAATAAAAATATTGTTTTAAGAAAAAAATAAAAAGCAAACAACCTTTTAAATATAATAAAAGAAAATAAATATAGAGAGGAAGAGAGAGAAGGGACAATCATAGAAATCTTGTTTTCCTTCCGAAATTTCTCCATATATGGACAGAAAATTTGGAGAAAAAATAGGATGTGGGACCATCTTATTTTCTCCTCCACTTTTCCTTTCTCCCACATTTTATCTCCTATCTAAGCAAGAAAAAACATGTTTCCCCTTATGTTTTGGGAAAATGACAGATAAAGAAGCTCCAAAATGTGAAATGTCAATTTGGGAAGCTAAGGAAATATAATTACCCATAGGGAAGTCCTTCCCAGATTGAAATTTTGAAATTCAGTGAAATGACAAAAATGCCCTTTGTTCTTTTTTAAAAAAAAAAACCTAACCCCTCACCGGTGGTCGGCGACCACCGCCGGCGGCCGCCGACCGCCTCTGGCTGCCGGTGAAGGATTTTTGTGACAAGTTTTTTTTTTTTTGGAAATAGGATAATATTGGTTCAAAGTGGCGGGGGTGGGATTTGATCCCACAACCCCTTGGCCACTTGGACCAACAAAAGGATGGCCATTGGGCCATCAAAGATTTCTTAACCTTATAATGCAAACAAAAATATAAGTTAACTCTTTTACTGTGACTCCAGCTCGTGACAACAATTTATCTGAGGATGACAAGTCTTAATTGAGAAATAACAAGTCTAAATTTGATATTAACAAAGCAACTTTTCCTTATACATAACAAATAGCAGCATGTGCATTAATTAAAAATGATCATAATTTATTTAAAAATGACACGTCTTTACTATAAAATGACAAGTCTAAAATTGATATTAACAAGATAACTTTTCCTTATACATAACAAGAAATAGCATCTACGTTAATTAAAAATGACCATAATTTATTTGAAAATAACACGTCTTTACTGGAAAATGATAAGTCTAAACTTGATATTAATAAGGCAACTTTTCCTTATACATAACAAGAAATACCGAATAAATTGTTGTTATTTTTCAACAAAGACGTGTCATTTTTAAATAAATTATGATTATTTTTAATTAATGCACATGCTGCTATTTGTTATGTATAAGGAAAAGTTGCTTTGTTAATATCAAATTTAGACTTGTTATTTCTCAATTAAGACTTGTCATCCTCAGATAAATTGTTGTCACGAGCTGGAGTCACAGTAAAAGAGTTAACTTATATTTTTGTTTGCATTATAAGGTTAAGAAATCTTTGATGGCCCAATGGCCATCCTTTTGTTGGTCCAAGTGGCCAAGGGGTTGTGGGATCAAATCCCACCCCCGCCACTTTGAACCAATATTATCCTATTTCCAAAAAAAAACCTTGTCACAAAAATCTTCACCGGCAACCACCACACTGGTGGTCGACGCCTGTGGCCAAAGACGGTCGGCGGCCGCCGGAGGCCAGTCACCGGCAGTGGTCACCGGTCGCCGGCCACCGATGAGGGGCTGGGTTTTTTTAAAAAAAAAAAAGAACAAAGGGCATTTTTGTCATTTCACTGAATTTCAAAATTCCAATTTGGAAAGGACTTCCCTATGGGTAATTACATTTCCTTAGCTTCCCAAATTGGCATTTCACATTTTAGAGCTTCTTTATCTGTTATTTTCCCTTATGTTTTCTTCTCTAGTTTTTTTTTTCCTTCTTAATTTTCTCTCAATCTAAGCAAGAGGTTAATGCCTGTCCTTGCCCCCTAATGCCACGTACCAAACATATCTTGCAGTTGGGGTGTTCCAAAAAAAAGTTATATTAACTAATTTAATGAATATTTTTAATATATTTAAATTACCATAAATTTTTTAGATATTTTTTTTTGGGGGCGAATGAAGGAATGAAGTCCGAGTGCAACGCGTGGTCCCAAAGAGTGAAAATTCGCATGTCATGGACGCGGCTTCCTCGTCTTGGTCTCTACCTTAGCTTGAAACCTCAAATCTTACCAAATCAGGAGACGTTATACAACCGGCGGGTGGTGACCCTGATTGCTTGCCCGGCGGAGTGATCGATGATGCTTCGCAGCAACGCTCCACGCGCTTCCGCAGCAATCTGTGTTCTCCTGATTTTCTTCATCGCCGTTGCCGACTGCGCCGATCAATCCTGGGTATGTCTTCGTTCCCAAACAGATTTGCCAGAAAATGCCGCTTCGCCGCTCAATTTCTCCTTCTCTCTTTGGTTTTCCTGGATTATATCTTCCCAATTTTCTCCATTTTCCTTGACATTGCTTAACCCACTCTGCTTCATCGCTTCTCCAATCATCGCTTTTTATTCTTTCTGTTTGTATTATTTTTAAAAAATTTACCCTTATTTTGATTTTTGGAGTACAGGGAAAATGCAGCAGAACATGTATTGACCAGCAGTGTGATAGTAAGACAAATCTTCAGCTCTAATTACTGTTTGTTCTTGCTGTGTTACTCCATTGCTTGGATATAAATCTCGTTATTTTTCTTTGGAACTTAGATATTGGAATCAAATACGGGAAATATTGTGGATTGGGTCATACGGGCTGCCCTGGTGAGAAACCATGCGATGATGTCGATGCTTGTTGTATGAAGCATGATGACTGCGTTGGAAAATACGGTATTTCTCTTTTCCATCCTCCTTCTATTTCTATATTTTGTATATAGATGCCTTCCTTTATGGAAACATGAGTTTGCATACAGAACCTTAAAATTGGAGCCATTCTATCATTATGATACTCGGTGTGTGTGTGAGTGATGGATGCTGTCCGTGTTTTGATGTTGAAGAGCTTGAGACATCAGGGTTTTCAATATTTCCAGCCATGCATATCATGGAGGTTTTGATGTTCAATATTTCTTACTGAACGGATGGAGATCTAAGCGTAGTTTATGAGGATGATTTTGGTCTTGAACGTTTGGTATGTGATGAATTCTTTGGGATCTTTTTGGATAATACCTCTAACTACTCTGTTCTCTGCCATCTGCATTAGCATGCGCCGTAAGGTTCAGGGTTACTAAATTCCATTCTATTACTGGCGGGTCCTATTTTACCGACGGGATTTATCACCTATAACCCTGGTAAAAACATGTAATGAAGATAAATGGATATTTGTTTGTGTGTCGGATGATCGAAAGATTGTTGTTGCATTTTGCTATCAGAAACATGTTCTTATTCTGCGTCATTAGGCGTTGGTGGGGAAAAAAGGGATTATAACTATTTATTTTTTCTGCATATTATAACGTCGTTGGTGTATTTATCTAGTTTTATCATTTAATGGTGCTCCACTGCGATTTGTTTTAATCTATAGGATGGATACTGAATTAAATATACTTCCTTGTGATGAGGAAGAAGAACCGTTAATTAGCCAGTTCATATGCATACTAAGATGCCGCTAGCATAACTATTTCCCCTCATCATCCTCTATGACTTTCTGGATTATTATGTATATAGTTTGAGAAATGAATGGAATAGAAAAATAGTCTGATTACCAATAATCTTATAGCCTAGTGGCATAAGAGCTTCTTGTAAGTAGAAAATTAAGGATTCAATCTTGTTTGTAACCTCATACTGTTTGTACCGGCCCCTTTACTTCGGGGAAAAAAACAAAAGACAAGCCTGATTTACCCCTTCACAAAATTGCAGACTAATAAGACATGGTTTTACAGGTATGACTCATGTGAAATGCCATGAGAAATTCAAGAATTGTCTGAGAAAAGTACTGAAATCTGGAAAGGCTGGATTCTCAAAAGAGTGTCCCTATAGTATAGCTGCGCCTACTATGATAAGAGGCATGGATGTGGCCATCACACTGAGTCAAATGGGTCAAACCACCATTGATTTGTAACAGAACTTGAACAGCTTCAATTTGTCCTGAAAAGGCATCTAATTGTTGATCCTATTGAAATCTAATATCTATCACTTGCTTTAACAAATCCTCGGTGCATTCTATTTTTTGGGATTTTTTTTTTATTTTAAATGTAGAGAAAGAGACCTGTTGCATAAGCTTCGTCTGGAGTAGCTGAAAGTGGATATTGTTTTCTTCTTTTCTTTTTTTGTTTCTAATATATTAAGATATGGTGGACAATGCGGGACGAAGCATTTGGGACCGAATTTTTTTAATTATTTATTTATTTTGCTTGATCTCTTGTTTACGCAAGTGGTATCTCTCTCTGCCTCGTAACTAGATGACCTTATAAGATCGAGGTAGAGCTTCACTGATTGAGTTTTGTTGAGTCACATTTGATCTTAATACGTGAGTAAACGGTCTATGGTCAATATTAGGCAGATGTTTAGTTGTTGACCTGTCATACTGGTCACTTGCGGGGCAAGTTTACGTATTTTAAAGTTTAAACTATTTCAATTCAATTTCGATGGCATGATCACTTGTGGGACAAGAAACCTTTATGGTAGGTGATTCATTGATGCTAATTTGTCATTAATTAATAGTAACAATTGGTCGAAAGCAGCTAAGCAGTTACTCATCTAGACTTGTATCTTTTTTGGTCTTATTTTATAAGGCAAAGAACCAAATTTTTTTAACCATATTTATAGGACAAAGAAAAAAATCTATTATACGAATGTCCAATTTTGTTATACATTTATTAGTGTTAACTTAGTTTTCAAAGGCTATAATGAATATTAACTATGAATAAAGTTTAAAAATTGTTAAATTTTAAAAAAGAGTTAATAAAGATTAATGTTTTTATTGATCTGTATAAAATATAATAGAAGTAACTTATAAACAGGATAAAGTAGTTTTTTAGTATAAAAAATATATGATGTAATAATAGTGAATGAATTTGTAATTAATGCGCAAAAAAGCCTACAGTAAGTACGGAGACAATGATAAAAGAGATGTTGTGGTGGTATTCCCTCAGGAAAGATTTAGCTAGTGTCTTCATTTTAAATATAGGCTCTCAATCTAGTTGGTATCATTCTAGATTTTTTTTGTTTGTCTCATACTACCCTTTCCACAGTTTTTATCCCTCTCCAGGTTAAATAATTACACAATGGGATATTTTAGGTACAATCACACATCTTTATATAACTATTGCAAAGAACAAAATTTAACCAAACTTTCTTAATACATATGAATTGATTAGATATATCTAAAGAGTCATTTATAAACAAGAAATTAACGATGAAACGATAAAAACAATGAGAATCTTATAGGATTCAGATTTAATAATTATATTTCTAGACCAAACAAGTGATTTCCTGATGGTGAACTATGGAAAAATGATTGCATATTTCGGCTTTCTAAATACACGGATTAGTGGCCTGTGGATTTGACAGTATAGCAGATTTATTCCCATAGATTGTCAAATAAAATATAAGGATGACAAAAAACAAGTAAACCTGTTCTCATAATATACATATATACAAATGAAGCAGAGGAGTGATCATGATCATGACAAAGATCATCACAAAGCAGTCACCCCCTAAAGAAATAAAAAAGTAAAAAAAAGATCTATACAAAGCATGCAGATACTTAAATATCATCCTGACATCCTGAAGCAATATTCCATATAGTTGAAACAACAAAGAGAAGAATCCTATTTGTTAACAATCATCTGGCTTCTTCCAACGGTTTTCATGGCCACGTAGAGATTGCAATCTATCTTTATTTCTTTCCCTTGTACAAATCTAGACACTAAACTAGTTGGCATCAGAGACCCAAGTATCCTTAATTCCATCTTTCCATATACCCAATTTCCATCTAACTCTAGGACAATAGTTTCTGCACCTAGACATGAGATTGCTAGCAACTGGAGGATCAACATCGTGATGAATAACCAGAGAAATATTTGATAACTTAGTACAGTTATCCAGGACAGAGAAAATAAATGCAAGAGTAGACTCAATTTCTTGGACCACCATATGTGCAACAAGTTCTTTCAATGTGTTCATCTCAATCCTGTGTTTTAAGCCTTCCATACAGAAAGAAGTTTCCATGTCATGCCAAGCTCCAGGGCCTAAATCGAGAGAGCTTAACAATGGGAAAGACTCAAACAATGTTTCAAAGCCAAAGGTTGTCAATCTATTGTGTTCAGATCTTCTCACTGAATCCACCTTGAGCCTCTTAACTGTTTTGCAGCTTCGAAACAAGCCAGAGAGACAAGCAAGATTGGAAGATCCAAACTTAAAGTATTCTATACTGTGACAATTTATCCACTTGAACTCATCTGTACCCTCAATAGAGAGATCAAAAGCAGAGAGTGATGATGCTTCAAGGACAATTAACCTCGGTCTGATGCATTTAAGTTGAAGATTGGCAAGTTTTGGTGCACATATTGCCAATGAAAGAGGAGCATTTGATACTGACCATTGACAAGTTCTAAGGTGCAAGAGACTAATTTTTGGCTCCCTAAGTCCTCCAACTCCTATCAGATTCAGTTCTAATAAATTTGGGAAACATTTATTGATCTTGCATAGGTCTTCATCATCTAATCTCACAAATTCTAGGGTCAGACTTGTGAGCATTGGCATAGGGACCAGACCATCCACTGATAACCAAGCGTTCCTCACCAGTAATTTGACAAGACCATGGCCTGCATACCCAGCAATAATTTATGATATAAAATACAACTTAACAATTACAATACGATCTAAACCTAGCACGGTTCTACAAGATTGAGAACGTTTCTTCAGCCATTATGAAAATGGAACAGAACAGATAAAAACAAGGAAATTCTTAATGGGAAAAAAAAAAACTCACAGCTCCAAGAGATCAATGACAAGACGTCCGATCGCCTCCAACAAGATTGAACCCAAAAATCTGAGATGGACAGAGATTTCAAATCCGGAGCAATTCTGGGCAACCAAGTCTTCACGAAGGCGGTATCTGTGAGATAGAGATCATCAGAATCATCATCGACATCGTCGAACGTTATCCCTGCGAGGGACTTATCGACGCCGAGCGAGACGGAATCGACGCGTCCAGAAGCTCGAACGAGGTCCCTGAAAACGGTCTTGAAGGGCGTGACAAACAGATTAGGCACTAGAGAACGAGAGCTGAGGTAGCGAGACAGGGAACAGACAAGGTTAATGGAGCGAACATCATGGGAGAGAGCATTGAAGGTCTTAGAGACAACTCTGCAGCGAGCAAGGTCAGTCGAATCGCTGAGTCGACTCAGAATTTCGAGAACGAGGCATGGAGGAAGGTTGTCCATCGACATGGGACACTTGGGGGGGAGACACAGAATGCGGAATGAATGCGAGTGATGTGGTTGAAGGAAATTCATAAAATGGAGGGTCATAGAATGCCACGTGTCTAGCAAGAAAGTGACTACTCCTGAAAAAGAAATATACCTAAATCTTTAAAATAAAATTATTTTCAATAAATTCTTTAAATATTTTACTTATGGTTTTTTTCCAACTAATTTCTCTGCTTGTAAAATAATATATAATTTAATGATACATATAAATATTTTTAAAAATTCATGTAACATATACTATAATTAAATAATTTTTAAGTTTTCTCATTTTTTTCAAATTAATCAATTCAGTCTTATATTAAAGAATGAAGGTAGTAAAATGTAAATAAGGAAAAAATAATTTTGAGGATACTGTTCTTGCTAAGCCTGATGCCAATGACCACAAATCTAAAGTTATTTTTTTATTTTTAAATTTTAATTTTTTTAAATGTATAAGGGTTAATATAATTTTTTATTCTTAAAATTTGGCTTTATTTTAGTTTAGGTCCATTAAGTTTCAAACCTATGATTTTAATTTCTAGAGTTTAATTTGTCTTAAAATGTTAGTACATAGAAGTTTAATGGTATTTAAGTATGTTGAAGTGTTGTAAAAGGTATTGAAAAGGTGATGTGAACTCAATAAATGACATCTAACTGGATTTTGCATGGATAACAAAGAAAAAAGAAAAAAAGAAAAAAGAACTTTTCTTTAAAATGTAACTGTTTAGCCCCTTTTTTCTTCCTCATCGTTGGTTGGAGGTGTTGTTTGCATTTTGAGAGTCTATCCTCCTCTATATAATTGTTATATTATTCACATAAGATCTAACTAGGTGCCATATAATGAGTTTTCAACATCATTTTAGTGTTGTTTAGGATACTTTAAGAGATTTTAACACCGTTACATCTTGATGAACTAGCGTTTTAAAACAAACTAAATTTTTAGAACTAAAATCATGGGTTTGAAATTTGAGATAAAATGAATTCAAACTTCATTGACTAAAAGTTATATTAACATAAATACTAAATTATCTTTAATCAAAACCTCTTCTTATGACCTCTCCATCCTCTCCTTGATCATATCTGAATTACTTGACACTTGTGAGGAAAAATGATTTTTTTTTTATGGAAAATTTTTGGAGGGTTGGGGGAAGAATAAAACTACACTCGGCTTTTTTACCTAGAACCGTAGACAGTAGATAAAATTACTCAAATGTTACACTTTCAAAAATATTTATGAAGATACTCCATTTAAAATTGATCATGCGTAGAACGAATTCAAATTTATAGAGAACTTGTTCATGGGAAGAAGAGTTCCATCTCATTGCTAATGTGACGTCATTTTTTTTAATTGCAAAATGAAATTGTTCCCAACTTGAACGATTTCTTCACTGCCTTGTATTTTTTTTTTGTTAAAACATAAATATCTTCCTATTCGAGACACTATCAGACACTAAATGTGAATATCTCTTCTAGCAGATATTTGAATCTTGATTCGTCACATTGTAAGGGACTATATATGCCTTCCATGGATGGAAGGGAGGGTAAGTAACACTTGGGCCCAAAAAATTTGTAAGAAAATACAACTCATTGCCTCCCTCTCGGGGCATCTTCCTTTCATTTTTCAATGAGCCTTTACTTTAAATACGTTAAATAATACTCATTGGAAATCATAAGCATCAATTTTTTTTTAAGGGGCTTAGTTTTTCTATGAGCTATAACTTGGACTTGGCAGATCATTCAGTTAAAAAAGAGATGGGAAAAACTTATAATTAATTAAGAATAAAAATTAAAAAAAACACTTGCATTAAAGGATCAAAGGAGTCCAAATTATACTCTCTCTCTGCTCCTTTTTATATTGAAGAATTACATTTTTTTTTTATAAGATCCCATTTGTAGTAGTCTGATTATTTAATATGTTTTTATCTTTTTGTGCCTAATTAATTTTATATATTGTATTAATTAAAAGTTTTACCACATTCCTCTTTATACTTTCTTTCTCTTACTTGTCCCTTATAAATAAGGACATGCTTTAAAAATTTATTTTTGTTTTTGAACTAATTTTAATTATTTTTTAAATCATGTAATTTAATTATCAGAATTTTATAAAAAAAGGTAAATCCCATTAAAAAAAATTTGATGCTTATATTTTTAAGTGGATGAGTATAATTTAACGGATTAAAAATAAAGGCCCATTGGAAGATGAAACGGAGATGCCGCGAGAGGGAGGGAATTAGTTGCATTTCCTCCCAAATTTTGTATGCGCAACTGTTATTTACCCTTCCATCCACCCAAGAAAGGCTCGCACAATCAAAATACAAAGTAGTGGAGAAATCACTTAGGTTGGAAATGATTTTATTTTGTAGTTTGAAAAAAAAAAAACGATGTCACATTAGCAATAAGATGAAACTTGTTCTTTCCATGAACAAGTTCTCTGTACATTTGAAAACGTTCCATGCATGAACGATTTTAAATGAAAATAAATATTTTTGAAAGTGTAGTATCTGAGTAATTTTATTAACTGTTTACGGTTTCTAGGTTAAGAAAGCCAACCAGACTCTTTCCTCCATCTTTTCCATCTTCCTATCGACACGACGCAAACCTCACACAAAATAATAGGAGGGGCCAAATATGTCAGCAACTACGCTCTCTTTTTTTATTGGGAGAATTATCATAAGGGCGCCTATAAGATGCCCAGAACGTAGTTTTCAATTTTAATATTCAGATTATATATTTCTTCAGTAAAATAACAATTTGAGAAAATGATAGATAAAGACCTTTGAATATATAAAATTGTGATTTAGATTTTTGAATTTAAGTAATTTTTGTCAAGGACCCGATCTCAAATAGAAATTATGAAATATTGGTTAAAAGACATAAATGCCCTTCTGCTTCTCTTATCCTCTTGGCTATATCCATTTCTCAATCTCTTTCGTCATCTCCATCTTCATTTGCTCCGTCCTCCCAAACTCATCTCTTAAAACCATAATAGCACTCATCATCTCTTTTACTAAATCCCTCTCTCTACCCTCCCAATCTTCTCCAATTTGGTTCTATGTTTCAAAATTGTCTTCATCATCATGGGCAAGAGAGATAGAGCACCACGCACAGAACCAAAGGATATGACTGGATGTAAGAAGAAAGAGAGGCTAACCCTTCTTCTTCAACCTTCAAAGGTGAGAGCTAGAATGAGCAAAGGGGAGAAGGACGCCATTATCATTGTTCATCTCCACTTTTAACACAAAACTAGAGAGGATATTGAGGAAGCTGGATCATGTAAATAAGATTTATAAAACTAATAAGTAATGTTAATGAGTTCTATGTTGTAATAATGTAGAGCTATTTAATGTTGTATACTTAATCAAAAACTTGGTGACAGTAATGTAATGACAGAAACACAAATTCTATCATTTGAACAGAAAAAATTAAATTGTATGAATTGCTTATCAAAAGTTGCCATTTGCCTTACAAAACTTGTTATTGACCTTACTAAAGTTGTCATTAACTGTTTATCAGAACTAATTACTGTCAAAAAAATCTGTAAATTCTCATTTCAACAGAGAAATTTAAAATTGTATGAAAACCTTATTGGCACTTGTTATTGGTCTTGCTTAACTTATTATTGGCCTAACTGAACTTGTCATGAATCCTATATTAGAAGTGCTTGCTACCAAGAAAATCTGAAATTTCTCATTTCAACAGAGAAATTTAAAATTGTATGAAAACCTTATTGGAACTTGTCATTGGTCTTACTTAACTTGTTATTGGCCTAACTGAACTTGCCATACAATTTTAAATTTCTCTGTTGAAATGAGAATTTTAAAATTTCTTTCATAGCAACCACTTCTAATATAGGATTCATGACAAGTTCAATTAGGCCAATGACATGTTAAGCAAGACCAATGACAAATTCGGATAAGGTTTTCATACAATTTTAAATTTCTCTGTTGAAATGAGAATTTGCAGATTTTCTTGACAGCAACCACTTCTGATATAGGATTCATGACAAGTTCAGTTAGACCAATGACAAGTTCCGATAATATTTTCATACAATTTTAAATTTCTCTGTTGAAATGAGAATTTTCAAATTTCTTTGATAGCAACCACATCTGATATAGGATTCATGACAAGTTTAATTAGGCCAATGACAAGTTAAGTAAGACTAATTACAAGTCTCAATAAGGTTTTCATACAATTTTAAATTCCTTTGTTGAAATGAGAATTTTCATATTTTTTTGACAACAACCACTTCTGATATAGGATTCATGACAAGTTCAGTGCGGCCAATGACAAATTAAGTAAAACCAATGACAAGTTCTAAGAAGATTTTCATATAATTTTAAATTTCTCTGTTAAAATGAGAATTTTCAAATTTTCTTGACAGCAACCACTTCTGATGTAGGATTCATGACAGGTTTAGTTAGGCCAATGACAAGTTAAGTAAGACCAATGAAAAATTCTGACAAGGTTTTCATATAATTTTAAATTTCTTTGTTGAAATAAGAATTTACAGATTTTTTTGACAACCACCAGTTCTGATAAATAGTTAATGACAACTTTAGTAAGGCCAACGATACGTTTTGTAAGGTGAATAACAACTTTTGATAAGCAATTCATATAATTTAATTTTTTTCGTTCAAATGACAGAATTTCTGTGTTTCTATCATTGTATTACTGTCACCACGTTTTTTTATAAAGTAGATGACATTAAATAGCTCTACATTATCACAACATAGAACTTATTAACATTACTTATTAGTTTCATAAATCTTATTTTCATGATCCAGCTTCCACAACATCCTCTCTGGTTTTGTGTTGAAGGTGGAGATGAACAGTGATAATGGTGTTCTTCTCCCCTTTGCTCATTCTAGCTCTCGCCTTCGAAGGTTGAAGAAGAAGGGTTAGCCTCTCTTTCTTCTTACATCCAATCGCATCCTTTGGTTTTGTTAATGATACTCTATCTCTCTTGCCCATGATGATAAAGAAAATTTTGAAACATAGAACCAGATTGGGAAAGATTGGGGGGGTAGAGAGAGAGGGATCAGTGGAAGAGATGATGAGTGCTATTAAGGTTTTAAGAGATGAGCTTGGGAGGACGGAGCAAATGAAGCTGGAGATGATGAGAGAGATTGAGAAATGGATATAGGAAGAGGATATTGGAAGCAGAAAGGCATTTATGTCTTTTAACCTTCATTTTATAATTTTTATTTGAAACCAGGTCCTTGATAGAAATTACTTAAATTCAAGAACCCAAATCATAATTTTATATATTTAAGGGTATTTATTTGCCATTTTTCCTAACAAATTTTGTAAAAATTTCTGAATTTCTGAGCGTTTTCCTTACCTTCCCGGACTCCCTTGCCCTAGCCTCCCGACCGTTCTCTTCTTTCAGTTCCCTCTGCGGCCTTCGCCTTCCCTCCTTGCTCTGCCCCTCTCCCCTCTGCTCTCTCAGTCTCGCCGACGCCGAGGAAATACACATACATACTACTCTCTCAGTCGTCGACTGTCGCCCCTTCCCTGCTCTCTTAGTCTTGCCGACGCCGGCAGAAACACACACACATATTGCCCCGCTCCTCTCTGCTCTCTGAGTCTCGCAAATCGCAGACTCGCAGTCGCAACCATCCACTGCCTTCCTTCTGCTTCGTGAGTGAGTTTGTGTTGTTTCTAATTTTAGATTCAAATGTTATGTTCATTTTCTGTTTCCTTGATGTTTGGAGTTTGGATTTCTTTCTTTCTTTCTTTTTAATTAGTGAATGGGTTTCTGTTTCTTCGATGAACATGAGCAGATAAAGTATTGGGATTGATTCGTATTTAAGTGTTTAAATTCATTCTCCTCGATGAAATTGAACGGATGAAGTTGACGTGTTTGAAGTTTAAATTGTGAATTGAAATGTTTAAATTTCACTCTCTGATTTGATGCGTCTCTGTTACAAAAGAGTCTGTGTTTCCGGGGTGCAGTTTTGCAGGTTGCAGCTGTTTCATTAAAAAGAAGGGGGGGGGGGGGGAACCCCATTTAAACACGGACGGTTTAGCCCGGCCCGTTTAATGGGGATTAAACGGGCTCCTACTAGGCTACGAGCTAGCCTGAACCCATCTAACTGTAAACGGGCAGTAGGGAAAAAAAAATTTAACATGGGCAATGTGAGAATAAGTTATAAGGACTTGTAAACAGGACCGGAGTGGTATTGTTTTTCTTGGCCACGATATGTATAATTCTTGAATAAATGTTTGCTTGATTATTGTCTTTCACGGGTTCTTGATTGTGCCTTTTATTTTAATATTTTTTAATAGAACATTAATGTTAGTTCAATAATATTGTGAATATGGTTTAATTCTAAGCATGCTTCCGGAAAAGAAAGTGGGGAATATATGCCAAATCTTAAAAAACAGCGCGTTTGGTTGCATTGCGTACTATTTAGGCGCTATCTATTTGATCAAGTTTCCAAGGCTATTCGTATATACCGATTACAGACTGTTTCACTTCAGTGGAGCATAGGATGGGAGAGGCAAGTAAAGATGATGTTTTCGCATCGGTTCACTCCACTGTATTCAAAGAATCAGAAAGCCTGGAAGGAAAATCCGTCAAAATCGAGGGCTACGACTTTAATCAAGGTGTGAATTATCCACAGCTTCTTAAGTCCTTTGTCACCACTGGGTTTCAGGCTTCCAACCTTGGAGATGCTATACAAGTCATTAATCAGATGGTTCGTTTTGCTCCGTGGATACCACCTTGCCTGTTTTACTCCTACCTCTTTATTTATTTTGTTCTCTTGAGACTTCCCTTTAATTCTTACAAATTTTTCATTTGTGTCCTTGGTAAATTAATTGGAGTGAAGCTAGATTGGAGTCTGGCTGATGAGGCCATAACGGAGGATTGCAATGAGGAGGAAAAGGACTTGTCCTACAGAAAATCTGTTAGATGTAAAGTTTTTCTGGGCTTTACTTCTAACCTTATCTCGTCTGGTGTCAGAGATACAGTTCGGTACCTTGTTCAGCATCAGATGGTGAGTTTCTTTGGTGTCTCTGCATGTAGCAGGGAATTTAGTTCCCCCAGTTTGGATTTTGTATTGCAAAATTGGTTTTGAGGTGGCGTGTTGACCTGTCTTACTTTTTCATATCTTGTAGGTTTAGATACTCAACTCATACTATGATCTATCTAGAAAGCTTGGAATGGATTAAGATTTTTTGGACATGAACCTTTTAGATATTATGATACATCTATTCTGCAGGTTGATGTAATTGTTACAACAACAGGTGGCATAGAGGAAGATCTTATAAAGTGCCTTGCACCAACTTATAAAGGAGATTTTTCTCTACCAGGAGCCTATCTTCGCTCTAAAGGATTAAACCGTATTGGTAACTTGTTGGTCCCTAATGACAACTATTGCAAATTTGAGGATTGGATCATTCCAATTTTTGATCAAATGTTGAGGGAACAAAATGAGGAGGTATTCCTTTTCATGCCTGTGTTTCAATGCATTATGGATTCAAATAGTACAGATTTTTTCTGGATCTAAAGCTACATTCTTCCTAACATGTTCGCTCATCCACAGAAATGTTTCTACTGTGACTTTCTACTTCCTTTTGTCAGTTAATTTTTCTCTTTCTATTATTATTAGAACTAGGGCATGCGTGGTTTGTACTTTTGAAATCATGATTTGTTCATTATTTGTGTCCTTTTTTTGGAAAGATTTGCGCCTGTTCTTACTTGTTTGTGTGTGTATATATTTCATTTTTCTGTCTTATTTACCTTGTCCTTATGTGTTTTCAGCATGTAACATGGACACCATCGAAGTTGATTGCTCGCTTGGGAAAAGAAATAAACAATGAGAGCTCCTATCTTTACTGGGCATATGTGGTAAGCTTGAGATCATGCTTAGATCTTCTATAATTAATGCTGTTGCTCAATCTTTTTCTGATTTAAGTATTTTATTTTTCTATTACACATCTTATTTTCCTCATTTACATTGCATTTAGCCTTTAGATGACTTGCAATGGAGGACGCAAAAGACAGGGTATAATTATTTGTCTGCCACAATATAACCTTGAATCGCTTGGATTCAAATATAAATTCCTGTAAATTGAAATATATTTTTCATTGCTTGGAAAATGTGCTATGGAAAAGAGATAGAACTACGAGGTGAAATTGAAAAATGTAACTAGAGGTGCACTTTGCTTCTTGCATTTATACACAGGTCCGTGCACGTTCATAGATGTGCGGTCATACAGATGAAGATATGCCATTTAGTTCAGTGCAGCTTGCCATGAAACATTTTTCGGATGCCATTAGCACCTAATTACCTCACTTAGGCCATACGGGGCTTGTTATTAGGTGATATTCTGCTTTAGGGCTCACAATGTTTAACACTTGAAGCTAATTTGTCCTTGTTTTGTCTTGTGTCATCTCATTTGCATCAAATTAGTTTTACATGGAACTTAATGTTGCAACCATGCCTCAATGACCTAAGAATATACCGAGCCTTGTGATAAAATTACATCATACCTTTTACTGTCAGTATTCTGTGCGTTGTGTATTCACAGATTGAAACCTGGTTACTCTGCTATTTTTCTGCTTCATTAAACATTGTTCTAGAATATAACCCTTAATATCTTTAACTTTTGATGGATGTTTTGCAGAACAATATTCCAGTTTTCTGTCCAGGCTTAACAGATGGCTCATTGGGGGACATGCTGTACTTCCATTCCTTTCGAAGCCCTGGCCTGATTGTGGACGTTGTGCAAGGTATGATTTTCATTATTTCAACTGCATGAATGGTTGCCTATGGTATGGTAGTACCATAATATAATTAACAATTGGACAGATATTAGGGCCATGAATGGTGAAGCTGTGCATGCAAGTCCAAGGAAGACAGGCATGATTATTCTTGGAGGGGGGCTTCCCAAGCATCACATTTGCAATGCCAATATGATGCGCAATGGTGCAGATTATGCAGTTTTCATAAATACTGCGCAGGAATTCGATGGGAGTGACTCCGGGGCCAGACCAGATGAGGCTGTTTCATGGGGAAAAATCCGGGGATCTGCCAAGACAGTCAAGGTGCATGTTCTGTATATCCTTATGACTGCTTGTTCCCAAATTCCACCAGACTTCTGCCATTAAGTTCTTCAGTTTTAAAAAACTGCTTTTATTTCATTAAACAGGTACATTGTGATGCAACTATTGCATTCCCTCTTATCGTTGCTGAAACATTTGCCACAAGAGGGAAACCTCGCTGAAGTACATCCAGATCTGAACATGTCCTTATCCCCTCATGCCTCAACACACATCTTTCTTGCTTGTTCAAAATATAAAATATCACGCACACACTTAGTCAACAAGGGGGAAGCCTGATCTGATTTTCTTCTCTGATATGAACCTCTATTCCCTATCGTCAGTTGATGTTGCCGTACAGAGAAATCACTGGAGATGGGGTTTTGACCTCTTACCCGCTGAGATCAGATAGCTTCTTATTTATTTATTTTTATGCAAGTCTCCTCTCTCTCTCTCTCTCTCTCTCTAAAGAAACACATTAATAGGACATTAACCTTTGCCCTTATTGAGGATTGGCTCATTCTCTGGGAGCAGTGGTTCAAAGTTGGCTTTGTCACCTGCAGAGGAAAGTTTGAAACGTTGCTAGCTGGATCTTGTTTATCCCTATGTTTTGGTTCTTCCCAATTGTTTCCTAGTTTGTCTTTTTTAGTTTTTCAAGCTCTAGCAGTTGCTGTCAACAGCCTCTGGAGTTTTGTTTGCTGAGTTAAATTTCTTGATGTGCCAAGAGAGAGGGATATAGGGCGATCTTGATCGATTTGTTGGCCAGTGGGACAACCCTTAACCACTTGAAAGCAGATAGAGAGAAGACCATGTAAACTAAATCGGGTGCGACAATAGGAAATATTGTTGGTACTCTTATTAAATGGCTTCTATATAAAGTCAGAGATTTTATCATCAAGATCTCTCCGAATTTATCATTAGTTTATTGACAGGTATTATGCGACCAGGATATGCAAAAAGAGGGAGCAAAATAAGAGCGAATCTAATTGCAATTGAGGTTGAGGGGAAGTTCCAACGCCTTTGTTTTGGATGTAGAGACTGCCAAACAATTCGTGTAAAATACCACCTAGGTTCCAAATATAAGATCTCCAAGTGAATTTTATATTTAGGACCGTAAGTGCTATTTAAATATCATTTGCATATATAAAACATTATATAACACCGAGAGAATATAATGATTTTTTTAAGGCTTGAGGCTTAGTGCTGCAGTGACCGTGTTTAGGATTTCAGCGGGTTAAATTTAGGGAGAGTTTGTTGTTTTTCCGGTTTGGCACTGTAATGATGCGTTATTTGCATTGGAAGTTTGCAACTTCATTACGTAACTACGCAAGTGAAAATGTAAGGTGAAAAATTCCGTAAGTGAAAATGTAAATATTTAAATAATAAAATAGTGTCCACGCAGCCACTTTTGTATTGCTAAATAAAAAGGAAGAAAAAGACCATATTTTTTCGCTCCGCTGGTTCCTTTCTAGGAGAATTTTTTCAGAATTTTCTTGATCCTGTAAAACATAAAATCTTTTGTCTTGCGTATTTATTAAAATTTTTCTTTTCTACTCTTAGTAAAAAGAGTGTTTATTAATAAAATTAACTATTTAAAGCCATCAGCTGATCATTAAATGAAAATATTTTGGAAATAAATTTGAATTTTTGTTATATTTATTAATCCAACTAATTTTAACTACTTTTTTCCGTGACAATTTTAACCACCTTTTTTTGTATTATTGAGAATTAGTTGCCGAAGATTAAAACAGGGTAGGGCGGGGTTCCGGTAAAAAAAAAAAAAAAGGGGTGGGGCAGGGAACAACACTGCTCTAGTCTGCTTGCTCAAAGAAACGACATCGTTCGATTAGGGCATCGAAAATGCCGTAACATGCTGCCCTAGCTTCCTTTTACCATTTCATACACCAGCACTATACTGCAATTTCCCGCCTGGGCCTCATTTCCCGCTCTGTCAACCCTAACTCCTCAGCTGGGTCATAGCGAATGGGGCAGAAGAAGCTATCGACTTCGGATCCCAGCAATGAAACGAAGAAGAAGCGGCGAGTTGGCTTCTCCGCTGTTGGTAAGTGTACTTGGTACTGAGTCCTTGTTTCTTTTAATTTCTTTTATTTTCTTCTTCCTCATTTTTTGGTCTTGTTACTCTCGCTCGACATTTTACTCTTGCTCTTTATGTGGATTTTATTATCATGTTTTTTGCGCTTGCATGATCAAATTTCAAGCTCACAACAAAATTTTCAATTCGCATTGTGCAGATGCTGGAGTTGAAGCCAAGGAGTGCATAAAAATCTTTCTAGGTGTGGAAATTCTTCCTATTAACGACTATTCATGATTCTTATCCCTTATCATGCTGCTGGGCAGCTTCTGACTATGTCTCTCATTGACTCTATTTTTATTAGATTATTATACATTAGATATTTGATGCTATTAGTGGTCGTTCGCAATCTCTTTCCCGTGGGCTATACATGTTGTTTTAATTTATTTCCAATTGTATTCCTTCTTGCAGTGCTGAGAATAGATTTTTCAGTATTATAAGTGACTAGGATGGCAGGACGACGTAAGAGCGTTTTGCATGAGCTACATTCTTTGCTCATATTGTTCAGGAGAGTTGAAGGATAGTGTCTCTTTGGAAAAAGTTCGAACTATCTAGTATTTGAAACCGACATGTTTTGACATGACCTGTTTCATATCATTCACGAAGTCGTACTGGAAAAAAAACAAAGAAATCAGTTAAATATTTGAGAAGCTGATTTCTGGCTTATGCCCAGCCCATGAGTATAGTGTTATTTCTGGGTCTTGCATACTCCTCTGTTTGAGTTGCTTGTGAGGCTTGTAGGCCATATTTTTGTTTGTTGTCTTCCTTTCACTTACTGGATGTTATTTTCTGCTACTTTTCCTGTCACTAAGCTTTACCATTCTTGGTTTACTAATGATTTGATCTAGCTAATCTGTTCACTCATGTGGCATTCTTTTCCTTTGATTGCCATGTTTAACTTCCTCCCTTGTATCATTCTTGTTGACATGTCATGGTAATTCTTTGATGTAACTTGCATATTCTTGTGGGACCTGGCATTGTTGTATAGTTTCGAGCAAAGAGGAATTTAGCACTCCAGAGAACTTTGTCATTGACCCTGTGGACTTGAATAGTTTTTTTGATGATGATGGGAAAATCTATGGTTACGAAGATTTGAAGGTAATGATTGTTATAAACAAGCCAGAGATACATTTGCACATGATCAAAATTGAATAGTCTACAGTGTCTCTCTCTTCTTTTTTTTAAAGTTCTGTCTGTTTTGTTCTTACAGATCACTATCTGGGTTAGCAGCGTGTCCTTTCATGCCTATGCTGATATTAAGTTCCAGAGTTCATCTGATGTAAGTGCTGACTCTTTCCTCCTCCTCCTCCCTCCAAAATTGGGGGGGTTTGAAGGGGAGAGAAAATTTTGTCCAATGTTTACTAATGTACCCACAATTCTTTTTTTTTTAATGTTCTGTAACTGCCCATACCTAAAATTAGTGGTTCTCCCTCTTCTCTTACTTCTAGGCTCTCTCTTCCATGTTTCTCTTGCCAACTAGGTTGTTCAGCAACATGACAGAGAAGTGGTTTTTTAGTTGTTTAGTAGTCTTAAGTTTCTCTTCCCAGATTTTATTTTATTTTTTTTCTAAAAGTTTGAAAATCTGATTCTACAAATATAATATTTTTGTCCTTATATAATTAGCTAATATTATCTGTTACAATTAATGTAAGGGCATATTTGTCCTTATATAATTAGCTCCCTCCCTTCCCCAACCAAACAAGTGGTCATTAAGGTACTTTTCTTCCTTTCCCCTCCCCTCCCTCCTTTGAACCAAACACTACGTAAGTAGCCTGTCAATTGAATCCCTTGAAAAAGACTTATGTCACGCATGCTAAGAGACTTAAATCATTGTGTTAGTATTCTATAATTCATGGAATTCCGAATTGAGTCATCATAGAGATTTATAGGTTGATGTAATAGTGCAATCTACAATTTGGAGAAGCTGTACTGTGAATCTTGTGAAGCTATTTTCTCCATGAATTCAAGGACATAAATATAACGGTATTGTATATTTTAGTGATTTGTTCATGTATGTAAGTTTAATCCTTCTATATTATTTTTTTGATATGAAATCTTTTCTGTTATAAAAGCATCAAATTATGAAAGAGGAATACTAAGTTGATTATCAGCAAGATTCTTACAATAAACTATGTGAACAATACTTTTAGAAATATTAATGCATAGACACACCAAATGCCAAAGATTCTTTTCAATTTGACCTGCTCTTTTTTCTCTTTTTTCTTGCTGCTTTTGCACATTCTTTTCAAATTTGTTATTTGGTTTGTTTTACCTTACTAGAATTTTGTTTTTCTCCTCTTGTTTAATGTCTTTGACATCTTCTGTTGAATGTGCTGTTTTATTTGTTAAAGAGAGGAAAAGGAATCACAGATCTGAAATCTGCTCTTCAGGTATGCTTCAACTTCCATTTGGCATCATTGATTTTATACCTTATACGTCTCCTCAGATTAGTATTTTTTTTTTTTTTGGAAATAATTGATAATGTTTTTATTTGACAGAGAATTTTTGCTGAGACTCTTGTTGAGAGCAAAGATGAATTTCTGCAAACATTTTCAGCAGATAAAGATTTTATTAGGTGTTTTATATTTTCTCAGTTTTCCACTTTTCAATTTTTTGCTGCTACTTTTTTTAAGTTTTCTGATCTATTATTTAATAATTAATTGGTTTTTGTTTTCCTAAGTTGCACATTCCCTGGATGTTTTGCAGGACAACCATCTCAAATGCAGAGGTTTTAAAGAACAAAGCTTTAAATGGCCATGTTACTCATTCTAATTGTCATGCTGAAGCAGCTGCTTTGGATTCCGAGGTGGTAATTTATGTTTTGGCTTAGTGCATTGTATGATAATTGGAAGATGTTCAATTGCTTACATGCTACGCTGTAACTTCTGTTATGAAAAATCTACATCAGGATCCCAATACCAGTATTTTCTGAGCTATCTTGTGATTGAATTAGTGGGAACAATATAACTTTTATAGTGCTTCTAAGTTGTAACTTAGGCCGAGAGTTAACCAGTTCACTGTGCATTCTGTTGTGTTTCAATTAAACTAACTACTTATTTGTGACCATTAGTGTTTCTACACATGGAGCAGTCTTTCGGGTGTAATGGCAAATTATCCATTTCCCCTCCTTCTATTTGCGTTTTTTGTGTTTTCTTTTTATGATATGTCATTAACTGGCTGTCCTCTGCATATATGTTTGTGTTTTGATATTGTTGCTATCCCTTGATATTGCTATGCTTCTGAAAACCCTGCTTATCATGCAAAATTTATGGGACCAAATGCCACACTTAATTCTTTTGGCATGCCTAGCTTGGGCCCATGAGATAATAACTATTTTCTAAATTTGTACCTTAAAATTCCGAATCAATCATGCTTTCAATGTTTCTTTCAGCCTCATTGCCATTAAATATCTTATATATACACATCTATGTACAAGGATATATTCTGAAATTTTCTTTTGGATCTTTTTGAGCCAGGTTGTCCGTATGGTTGCAGGCAGCATGGCTACTGGGCACCTTTACAGTCGCCTAATACCCCTTGTTCTCCTTCTTGTTGATGGTAATGATTACCTATTTTGGTGTTCAGAGCTTTGCTTTTTGCAAAAATTTATGCTACGTTTTATTGTTATTGTAGCCTAGAATCCTTTTTAATATTCCTCACACAGGGAGTAGTCCTATTGACGTCACTGATCCAAGATGGGAACTCTATCTCCTGATTCAGAAGAAAAGTGATCAGCAAGGAGAGACCCAATGCAGACTTATTGGTTTTACTGCTGTTTATCGATTTTTTCACTATCCTGATGG